GAGCACGTTTGACATTTGCTTTATTGAGGACTCCAAACATGATTTTTAACAACGGGTTTTGCCAGAGTGGCCTTGAGGACGGTATTAAACTCTCACCTCCTAAATACAAGCTACAAAGGCAATGAAGGGAAAACAAACTATAAAATACAATTATTGCTGCTGAATCTGCATTTCTAGTTCCTGGCGTGATGTTCTGCAGTATGTTGGCAAAACACCTTTTATTTATTAGCTTCATTAAGAACAACATTCAGAAAGGTTTTTTTTTTTTAAAAAAACAAAGAACAGTCAAACCTAACTTGTTGAATTCGTCTTTACCCAACACACACACACACACACACACACACACACAAAAACACTGTCTTGGAAAAGATGGAGGGTTTTTCTCACAAGGATTTTCTCACAGGGGGAGGTTTTGGGGCTCTGATTCCCCAGCGCTTGCACCCAGGGCTGCTTTGATGCTCGTTTCCTGTAATTCCACTAAAATCCGGCAACGCGGGTGCCTGTGCTGAAGTCCAACGCGTGCACAAGCACCTGCGGCAGCGGCTGTTCCTACCTCTAAAGAGAGGGAGCAGAAGSCTCCAGACCAGCGTCCAGGATCCTCATGGGGCAAAGACCCTCCTGGGCATTTAAACCCGAGAGGTTAAAGGGTGGGCAGAGTCAGAGCGACCAACAGGTCAAACCAAAACCAGGAGACCCCTCTAGGAATTGCAGAGGGGAGCTAGAGGATGAATTAAAGCAGACTTAGAGCTGTGATCAACACACCGCACTCCACGGTGCCTTCAGAACAGCTACTGCACGTTCCTCATATACCCATGTACCACCTTGCAACGCCCTGCAGAGAAAACCCAGCTTACAGCAGTATCATTCACAATCTTGTGTGTGATGAGGTGATCAGGTCATCAGCTCCTGCTCAGCTCTTCACAGGTCCACGAGATGTAAGAGACCCCCTAGACACCTAAACGTGAAGCCTGAACATACCCTGTGCTCTCCAGCCAAAGGGAAGGTGGAACAGCCAAGTGACACGGATGACTTCAGGATTCGTTACGTGTCTACGCTAAACAATGTGCACATATATAAATTTTTTTAATTCAAACACAATTTTTTAAACTACATGGTAGCTTCCAAACTTCTCTATAATTTACAAAGTATATAAAATGCATGATTCGGCAGTTATAAAACCTTAGCCCTTTTATTAAAAAAAAAAAAAAAGAACAAAACAAGGCCATAGGGTTTTGCTTTGTTTTAAGCTTTATTCATACCGATGGTTCTCACTCCTATATACTAAATAAAAACCACAACTGGCACTCCACCACACCCTAACGATGCAAGGAATAAATTAGCACGAGTCACAGCGTCAACCAAAATAAATAACTCCTAAATTACCTGCATTAAACACGGTCTCTTCAGTCGCCCAGCACTGGTGTCCAGCAGAGCCGGGACTCGCTCCACGGCTCGAGGCAACGCGGGCGTCGCGCCCCTTTGGTCAGGATTTACTCAGCAACAAGACCTTGGTCAACCCCGAGGTTGGTCAACCCCCCTTGGTCAACGACGGGTCAAACTGCTGCGCGTTGGGGCTCTCTCCCGCGCCTGTTTGTCACCAGTTTGGGGTGAAACCCCCTGCTTTCCGTTCCCAGCGAGGTAGGCTGCTTTGCACTGACTCCTTGGGTGCTCTACACAGGTTTTCAGCACTGACTGCTGCTTTCAYGGCAGGAGAACATCAACAAGTCAACCAAAGCGCCCAGAAGCCCAAAGACCCCGTCGAGGGCTCCCCGGCAGCACGACACAAACACGTCCCATTCCTGGCTCTTCCAAAACCTGTTTTGCAGTGGGGGTCTGAGCTACAAAYGCAACAGGATACCTGAAAAACCAGGCTCTTACCTCAGACTATTAGCAGYAGCAGGCAAGTGGGCTCACGGTGTGTGTGTGTGTGTATACATATAAATATATATAAAAGTCAACGTAGTGATTAACACTGTCACAGCTTTGCTCTAAAATAAGAGCCAAGTTCAGTTTGGGGTAATTCTGCTCAAGAGAACGGAGCTGTCGGGGGAAACGGTTGCCTGGGCACATTTAGCTTATTAAAAACAACTACTCGTAGGACAAAATTAAAATCTGTAAATATTGGCAAGGCAACACGCCGTTCCACGAACAGCGTGGGCAGGTGCCTCTTACAAACGTGCACGCAAAGTACTGTATAGCTACATACCATGACTCCCGTAGCTAGTGATAGCTTAGGATTGCATTTAAAAACACAGAGTTTCTGGCAAGTATCAAAACGATTCTCAGGAGAGGGGAAAGCGCTGCCCTCGCCTCAGGCATGGGGCAGGCCTGACTCTGAAGGACTTGGTTCTGGGCTGAGATTCTAGCCCTCGACTAGAGCGAAGGCAGGACTGCGGAGCTACCTCTGGGGGCCAGGCAAAGCGAGGTGCTGCAGCTCTGCCCCCTGCATCAAGGCAATGCCGTRAGGAACAACCAGCAGCACCTCCGTGCCACGCTCACCCGCGCAGGCTGCTTCGTGCAGGGCGCGTCCCTCACGCTGGGGCGCCCGCCAACGTGTGCTCGCTCCCACCCGCGACGACAACGGAGGGAACACCACGGCCCACGGCCCGCGCGCGGCAAATCCTCGTGGCCAACGCGCCCCGTCTCACGGGGGACGAGCGGAGCCCTCGGAGCAGCGCCCCGGGCCCCGGCGCAGCTCCTGCTCCGAGCGCTCCCAGCCGCCGCGCGGCGGTCGGAGGAGGCCGGCTCCCGGCGGAAGCAACCCCTACGTAAGGGACAGAAGCAGAAACTCCCCTCTCTAAAGCCACAAACGCACTCGCCGGCCGCTGCAT